AGCATTTTTCTTAAAAGTTCTGAATAAGTAGATACGGACATCCGAATAAAGTTGAAGAATTTGTCTTTTTGTTTTTTTAACTCATTAATAAGAACAACGAATAATCCGTAACGATTTCTTTCCGGAATCATAGGATGCATCCTGAATCTTTTAGGCCTTCTTCTTTTAATTCTTCGATGAAGTTTTTGATGTGAGTCCATGGCGACGTTTGAGACTTAACTGACGATCTCAATCGATCGTAAATAACCGCGCGCTCTTGCAACTACGTGACCGCACAAAATAGGGCGTAAGTATCATGATACTCAATTTTACTTTTTGTGAAATTACTTCACTAGTTTGTTATAAATATTAATACAAAGATCGAATCCTGTGTTCTGACAGGACTCGAACTTGAGTCTGTGTCAAACCAGGGTCAACTCTATACTGAGCTACAGATCGTGTTCGCAGATCTTACGAATTTGTGGTTATTGATTTATTAAAATATGTGTACTTTAAGAAAGGTATCCCCTACCATCTTGTCTCCAAAGCCTAAAAAAATGTGTTGTTTCGAGAAAAAATAAATGCAGAAATAGGTGTATTCTTTTTCCATCCTTTATGATATAAAATAAGAGGGTGTCCAAATCCAATGTCCAAGTAACGTTCAGGCATTAATACAAAAAGGATGAAATACGTATTTAAATTTCTTTAAAAAATTTAAAATCAGAAGTAAACAACTTTTTATAGTAAGCAAATTACACTTTTTTATTGCTAGGAAATGCGTTGAGCATACCTCATACCTTACCCACTAAAACCCAGCGGTAGTTATAAGGGTAGGCATAAGGGCACCCTCAAGCTTGTTAGTAAGGGTCCTCGCAACTCGGTCTACGGCGAGGGAAGATGGGCGTACTGCCTTCTCCGTCTCCTCGGCCGCCCGCCGCCTACGAAGTGGGTTAGTGAGGGGGTAGTCCTCTCTGAGGCATTCCGAAGCCTCCTTCTGCGAGACTACACTCGTGCAAAAGGAGACCATGGCCTCGTAGCACCCTTCACCGAAAATTTAAAATTACAACTTGATTGTTTTTTCTTAGTTGATATTGCTCATATTTACATATAATTTACAATTTTTTAAGTCTACATAAAAAGAGTCCAACGAGTAATTGTTTCAATGTTTCATATCAATTTAGGATCAAGACATATCCCCACGAATAGATTCCCACCTTGTCGTGGCGGGGGGCTCTAGTAGCTGTGGTCGATTTGATCCCACGGTGAAGCTAAGAGGAACTCACGGGCCGGCCGATGGAGCTAGGTTGGCCCGAGGAGAAAGGCGTACCGCGCGGGCTCGTCTTGATCTAGGCCGAGCGGGTCCGCGCGGACGCATGCGGGGAGCAGAGTCGCGGGGGAAGAGACGTGTCGGTGTGTCGTTGCCGCTCGTCCTATCCTCCGCGACCCTGGCGGGGCTGCACCGCTTAGGGTGCACATGCAGTGGCGGTGGGGCCGCGGAGGGAGAGACGTGTCGGTGTGTCGTTGCCGCTCGTCCTGTCCTTCGCGGCCGAATTTGGGCGATTGGTCCTTGCGGTGGGCGCTCTAAATACAGAAAGTCCACGTGGATGCGCGTAGGGTGTTGCCTACCAACAGATCCGCCGCGGGGGCTGGGGGAGCATCCTCTGAACTTCATAGTTGAGGGGATGTTGTCCTGGCCCCATGGCCACTGGGTAGCGGACTCGGGGGAGTTCGCTGCCCAGCGTGGAGGGGGCCGAGATGGAAGGCTCGTCTGGTGTTCGGTGAGCCTTACATTTGGAGTCGGGGGACCGTTGTGTCTCCCTTCTCGGGGAAGGGCTGCGCTGGGCGCGGCCAGCCGCTGGTGGAGGCGCGGACGAGCGATAGTGTACCAGTGCAGGGCTGGGCAGTATTTGAATTACTTGTATTTGAAATACGTATTTAAAATACAAATACGTATTTTGTATTTGTATTTCAATTACACCCTAAAAATGTATTTTGTAATTGGTATTTCAAATATCTGACCATTATGTATTTTGTAATTTGTATTTCAAATACTTTCGTTGTAAAATACATTACAACAAAATACTTTTTTTTTTTTTTTTTTTCAATGTACATCCTATTATGTGACGTGCATAGATTTATATGATATTGAACTCAATGGTGACGTGTGTGTGTGAAACGGAACGTTCGAAAAATGAAGTATGAAATTATGTGATTTTTAATTCGGAACTTAATCACGTATAAAACATATTTTATTTACCTCGACGTTTTGGACATGTTGCAACGTCCATGGTGTCGAAGGGACTGAAGAGGCGGGTGTCAGCATCTTCTAGCCGTGCGAGTTTTTCTAACTACCCGCATTTGATCTTCATTATTTATTTGTGCACTAGGGTTCTCATTAGACCGACACACAACACTCACGACATCTTAAATACTCGTATTCAATGCAGTAGAAGCACATTTGCAGGTGGCAACAGTGCATGTTATTGTCAAAGATGTCAAAGTCGTTTTTTCGCGGTTATCTGGTAAAACTGAATATATAAAACTTCTTTTTCAAGATATGTATTGTGGAAATTGTTGGCTTCCACATATCGCGATAGGTATACTAATAAAGTATTTTGTAATGTGTATTTGTACTTTGTATTTTAAATACACCCCATGAAAGTATTTTGTATTTCAAATACAGCTCAAGAAAGTATTTGGTATTTTGTATTTTAAATACATTTAAGGAAGTATTTTGTAATTTGTATTTCAATTTAGATGTAGCATGTATTTTGCCCAGCCCTGTACCAGTGTCTCTTCCTGCAGCGGAGAGGAGGAACACCCCGGGGGTTTGATGCTCCCGTATAGGGTGCAGCCCAGTTCCACATAACCCCGGCTCTGCCCCCAGAGGGCCGGGGTATCTGTAAGCAGATTCCCTCGGGTAAAAAAAAAGGATCAAGACTTATAAGTTAGCGTACAAATGGATGTGTCACAATGTGGTACAGACGGACAACACTGCAAAATAATTGCATTTGCCCTTGTAACACTTGTACATCTTTAGTTCAAGGCTGCCTATCTTCTATTGTGGGATGACGTGAAGTGCGTAAATGACATTGGATCTAAAACACTTGTCGTTTAATAGTCTTGATTCTTGTGTCTCATAGACGTAGGCTTTCATGTTGATCAGTGTCCTTTTTACATTCAGCTAGACATATAGATGCGGTTAGAAATCTACTTAATGAAACTCGCTTGATAAGATTGCAGACTCAATAATAACGTTGAGCTATTCTTTTGTTGATTGATTTTTTGCACGCACGTACTTTCCTTGACTACAAAGGTAATATTTATTAATTTTAATAAAAGCATCTCGATTGAATATGGTTTTCTTATTTTTACATTTATTATTATCAAGTGATTAATGCGTTTAAATAACTATGAAATCTCTCAGAGGACGGAAAAATAGTCGAAGTGAAATCTTAACATAACGCCCTGTCAAATATCGGTACTCCGATCTCATTGTCATAGTCAACTATTGACATTACAATAGCAATTTAGTAGCGGAAAACTGGAACATATTAATAAGTCTATGATTATTTTAAATTTTATAGTTCCAAGAAGATAAATGACAAACCGTTTAATATGTTAAGATACCCAGGTAGTCAGTATGACTGATAATTAAGTACCTTTTTGGCAAAATACGCGATTTTCTGTCTAAAAGCGTCAACCACTGGGACATTTATCTTACTGTAGGCTTAGAATAATAACGCATAGAAACCTAGTCCGCACACGCTAAGTGAGGCAAATTGAAGCGCTCCCAATGGGCCTACACGAGCGGGCGGGCCGTCAGTGCTCAAGGTCAACTTGCACCGCGAATAGCTCAAGAATTTTAGCTAAAAATTACGAAATGTGCGGTAAATGAGTCAGACAAACATAAAATAGATACTAACATCACATTCCACAAGGAAGTAACGCGTTTCAACTTGTATTCTTATATAAATATTCACTAAAACCGAAAATAATCTACTACTAAAACTAATCTACATGAATTTGATTTTTGCCTCACTTGTGACAGTTCGTTTGATATGAAACTATCATTCTATGCGTTATTATTCTAAGACTGTAGGTTAATTTTCGGAAAAAATCAAACAGTGAAAATTTTTTCGGAAAAATTTCAGAAAAATGTGAAAAATATTAATTTCGAAAGCTCATAATTATGTTCTACGTTTAGAAATGTGTTTTGAAATTTAGTTTAGAGTGAACTGAACTGAAGAAACAACGTAGAAAAAAAAAAGGTTAAAAATGATTTCACAACAGCGAAAAATTGAACAGCTCCATCGTTTTCGTTCAGTAACTTCAAGTTTTGACAGTTGAAAGTGAGGAAAATTAAAGGAAAAGATATTGGAAAAATATCCAGAAAAGTATGAATTTCTGAAAAATGGAAATTTTTCCACGACCCAACACTAACCTACGACGACCTAGGGCGACCGCGTGTTTCTATTAAAAAAACCAAAAAGTTACCAAATTCCTTTATTTTTTTCCATCCTCTAAAACCAAAACGGTTTACCAGCCGTCAACTGTCAAAATTGTTATCACAAATTAGAAAGAATTGTCATAACAAAGATGGCGGCGAGCTCTACTTTTCTGGGCTTAAGGACCCATTCTCAGAAGGTTTGCAGCCTTTATAAAAAGGCTTTGCGTAATTTAGAGGCGTTTTATGACGATCGGTAGGTATTTATATGTTACGTGAAGCTTTTCCATATTCTAAGTTTATATTCTTCAGGTTACGTAATTTATGCGTTTTTCTTAGGTTTTTATCTTAATTGCCTTTTTCTTTGTACTTAATTTTCCAGATAACTCGTCTATACATCGACTTTTTTGTACAGAGAATGTAATTTAACTTTACACGAAGCAAAATGAACTCGTTAAGAGGTTATATTTTTTTTCAAGTTTTGTTTACTTTCTACATAGGGATAGTTGCATACGTAGTTAGTTACTGGCCCACAAACTAAATTGACAGTATTTATTAAACGGTATTCTTTCATTTTCTTATTTAGTTATTCATTGTCATTTGCCTTTGTAGTTTACAAGACATTCTAATTTTAAATTTGCAGTTTAGGTACTTACGATTTTGACATTCTAATTTTAAACTTGCAGTTTAGGTACTTACGATTTTGTATGTTATTCTCTGCTACAAAATGATGTGAAATTTTGTATTATAGCGCAAAAACACTTCTTAAATCCACAGAATTGTATATCGCTACAATGCAGTCCTTCTACGTGACCGATTCAACAAACATGCTAAGGAACCAGATATGCGCAAAGCTGTTGCCCTGCTGAAGGCCGGAGAAGAGGAGTTGTTTTTGCAGCAGCATCCCCTTCCTAAAAAGTGTAAGTCTAATAAAAACAGGTATTCTTTATACCCTATTTGGTTCTCCATTGAAAGACTAAAATTAACAAGTTTACTAAGGTACGCCCACCCACCTTTGATATTGCTACAACTTCATCGATCGATTGAGGTACAATTTTTTTTAAACATAGCTACTAAATAGTATAATTTAGGCATTTTTTTGGTACTAAATATTTTATGGCCTACATTTATTTCTCTCATGACTTTGGGTTTAATTTGTGGGTGTGTGTCCATGGCACCCACGATACAGGGTTTCCCTAGTGCGGGAGTTATGAGCGCGTGCGTCATTTATTTTAATAAATTACTAATTGGCAGATGTGGAAGATGACATTACTAGTGAATAATCTCATTATATTTAAAAGAGAAATTTGAAAACTTTACTATATTTACCTTCTTACAGGTTTTAAAAACTTTAATTACAGTTTCACTAAGTCCTGGTGGCGTTGCCTACGAACGTGTTGTCACACCACCGGATTGGGTACTTGACTACTGGCATCCCCTGGAAAAGGCCGAGTATCCCGAATACTTCAAGAAAAGAGAGCAGCGCAAGAAAGAATACATAGCCATGTGGGAGAAGGAGTTTGGCAAAGCTGACCCGAAAGATTCGCATCATTGATTTATATATAGTAGTTGTATCATAGTAAATTATGTTTATTAAGTATATAATTTTATGTTTTATTTGGGTTCAGATGAAAATTTTTCTTAAAGGGTAATTAATATTTAGGTTATTTTTCACTAATTGAAATTAGTGAAAAATAACCTAAATATTTATTTGTGTAAAAGTGGCAATTCTTATTAAATATAATAATATATTTTTATTATACATATTTAAAATCATATTTCAGGATACCACACTCGATTAAAAAATACTTCATGATAATATATATTCTAGAATATTTAAATAGGTACCTATTATTGTAAAAATTGCCACTGATATTAGGTAGGGAAAGCTGACCTAAAAATTACTCTAAACCCAACTTGTCATAATTTCATTGAACAGTCAATAGGTACAAAGGTTATCTTATTAAATTTCAAGATAACTGTCGCCACAAAATATCCATAATAGTATGAATCGACTTATTCCAGAAACGCATATAAGATGATATAGACCATAAGTGCGACTTTGGAATTTATAAGTTCGAACCACCAAATATATAACCATAAATAGAGACGAAATAAAGGCCATCCATCCCTGGCAACTCATCGGGTAAGTAGGCTTTAAAATCACTTTTAAATATCAACTCTCGTTTGCACTAAAATCACAAATTAGAAAGCTGAAGTAATACAGCGCCAACAACTGACCTGTGTGGACGACTCTGTATCAGCTCCGTATATTCCAAAAATATTCTGTATTTATCATGTATTTATTGTAATAAAGATAATATCTGTAACTATGGGGGCTGTTCCATTCGGTGGTGTGGTGTGGGAACAGCAAAACATCTAATTACAAAACAAATGGAATCACATTTCATTGGTAATTAAATATGTAATTTTTCAATTTTTGTCATAAGTTGACAAGTCCTGTGCCTGTAATTTCCCCATGACTCTACATTCAAAACCGTAACACAGTACTGCTTACGTTTATTTATTTATACTGCTTGGCGGCAGAAACAGATATTTGATTAGACCTTAACGCGTGTTCGTTTTATTACGAATATATACAACAAATAAGGCCACCACAAAAATAATAATTTATAAGAATTATTTTATTTCCATTTAAAAACAATTCTATAGAAATACCTATTTTTGATTGAACATTTGAACTGAAGTCTACCTATTTGAAATCAAAGATAAAAACATGGAGTTTAGTGTTTATACAAAAAAAAGAATTTATTACAAGGTAAAAAATAGTTCTTAACTAAAGTTAAAATGCAAGTTCAGGCATAGTGGAGTTAGGTTTTCGTACAAAGCTGTAGAAGAAAATAGGATTTTTAATACATTATTCATTATTAAATATCCGAAAATACATTATGTTTCAAGCACTCTTTATTTCAACATTTTAAATTATCTTGAAAATTGAATAAATAGAAAAACTATAATTATTTCGTTGAAAAAGAAATGTAAAAAGTACTTACTTAATAGTACAAAGGTGATTGCTTCTAATCGCATTTATTCAAAGATACAAAAACGTTATTAAGTTACCCGGACGTCACACGTAAAATGTTATCCTTTCAATACTAAATCAATCACATACGAAAACAAAAAATGTCGTAACTTAAAACTGTGAAATTAAGAGGACACGATTTGAACATTTAAAAAAGTCTGAATGAAACAATATTATATTCTCGTGTATAAATGGATATTATTTGATTTTAAATTCGGGACTTAATTGTGTATAAAAACATTTTTTAACTACCTCGTCGTTTCGGGCGTATTGCAACGTCCATGGTCTCGAAGGGACTGATTTCACCAGTGTCAGTCCCTTCGAGACCATGGATAATTAAGTATTATGTATAAATAAAAATAATCACATTATTTGCAATAAGATCCAATAATTATTTTGTTTTAAATTTTCAAATTGTGTTTTCTCAATTCTGCAATTTTGAGTACGACAGTATTTGGTTTCTAGTGCGAAATATGTACCAATTTATGTTACTAAGTAGTATATGTTATTCAACATTTTAACATCACTGCCTAAGCGTAGCGCAGAAATACGCAAAGGCTGTACCAATTTTTTGGCCCTAGTAATTTACGATGTAAATTGTTCTTTGAAGGCTGACTAGAGATTATGACGTAAACAAAAACATCAGGTTGATGACGATAGTGCCGCTAAGTGTACGTTTCCAACTCAATGCCCTAAAGTGATTTTTGTACCCTTGAGACATACTATCAGCAAAGTTGAAGCAAAAGGTTTCTTTGCAAGCTAGATTATAGCTAAACGCATTCCTGTATTCCTCGTGTTTGCTTTACTGGCGGTGCCTTTTTTCAGATATGACCATCAGTGTCAGATTTGTAAATGTGTAAGTATTTATTATTTTTTATACAAATTAAAAAATAATTCAAACTTGTCCCTTGAACGATATAACTTAGGTCTTTTCAAGAAGAGTGAATAGGCATTATGTAGGTGTGTAGCATGCTCTATCTTCGACCTCATCGTCACTTTCCATCAAGTGGGCACTAAGATAGAGGTCAAATGTGCACCTATGTTTTTAATTTAAAAAGTATTTGGAATACGCCGTATTCGGATGTCACCAGTACTAATGTTTGACATCAAAATTCGGGCTATCAGCAGGGGGTCTATTCTCGATCTCCGTCCGAAACAATTACTGCCAAATAAGCAATACTTGACCAAATGAAAAGACGTGTGATGCGAATGAAGCTTCATACTGGATACTTGTCTTTTAATTTTGTCGAATATTACTTATTTGACAGTAATTGTTTCGGACGGAGACCGAGAGTAGACCCCCGGAAACAACTATAAACCTTAGAAGCTATAGACCCATTATAGACCTTTCAAATTGCACAAACGTGTCAAATTGTAACTAGTCAGCCTAAACGTCGAAAACAACATAATGGAATTTGATAGAATTAATGTTTCACTCAAATTATTGCTTACCTAATTTGAACTCATTAAGTTCGACAATTTTTTATTATGCTAGGAAATACATTAGATTTTTTTTACATTCTTCATTGTGTTTACAGATACGTGTTTCCGTGGAACAACGGAGAACAAATTGTTCGCCAAAACGTCAGCGTCGATTGAAAGTAAAAATCTGGGTACAAAGTAGCAAAAAATATTTGCTTTGGAGTGTGTTAAAATTTCTCGCGCAAATCTGCGTCGACCCTAACTGAATAAAGTAATTCGATTCATCCGTATACATAAAATCTTGACTCTGTACCATTTTTACATACAATACAACTCATATCAATCATAACCTACCAAATTCTTGGCCAAAATAATGTTTGTTACCTACACGTCACAAGATCTGTTATTAATGCAGCAAAATCACTTTATAGATCGACCAGAATCTCATTAAAAAGCAACACGCCATTTACTTGTCAAATGATAGAAACCTTATAGAAACAGTCACGAACAGCCGTTGTTAAAGTTAATGTACCTACGTAACTTTTATTTATCAACTAGGCAGAATGTCGATTCCTTAACGAAGCGCAAGTCTTTTTTTCTTCATACTTCTGCACATTTGCGCACGAAAAAATTTTTTTTTATTGTTGTTTTTCACATTGCTAAATCTGAAAATTACTTTTTTTTTGCCCTATATTTAACATGGTCAGCTTTAACTTGAAATTATCATTCATAGGTCACTTTATGAAATTAAATATTTTCTTTTCATCACGAGTTGCAGATTGCATTATTTTTATGCCAGTTGAAATTGGACATGGGTTGAGGCTTTTGAGGAACTTAAATAATTCTATTCATAAATGTGCATTTTGAATTGATGCCAAGAAAACTTCACTCGCTGTACTTCGTGCAACCAACAAAGTTTGTTCAAAGGATTTTCAGTTCAATACACATACTAATGTTATCTTTACATGTTTAAATATAGTAGATCACTGTATAGGCACTATAAGATATTGAAAAGTTTACAACACCTGTTGTCACCCGCTCGAATATTGGCAAAGAACAATGAGTGGGGTGAAAATTGGTAGCGTAATGGTTTGTCCTAACGCCTTTCAAGCAGAGTCCGTGGTTTCGAATTCGGGTTCGCACCTCTGACTTTTTCGGAATTTATGTGCGAAATTTTAATTCGAAATTTACCGTGAGCTTTAAATACTCAATGTATTTATTGCATTCATATGGTATGCTTTTCTACGACTATGGCCTAAATCCTCAACTGAGAGGAGACCCGTGCCGTGATGATGAATGGGTAGGATAGTCCTATTATGTAAAACACTTTGCCCAATGTGCGTTACTAATATTCAAAGGAGTGGTATCCTATTGCTTTCTATGTAAGTTTTGATTATAGTGACCCTCCCTACAGACCCTTAGGCTATACGAGAAGGGTGCTATTACCTGTGCGTGTACAGGAACCTTCTGAGTTCAAAGGGGTGACAACAGGGACAAATCCTTCACCTAGGCCTTATAGACAATCTAGGTCAGCCATACACAACCAGCGCCCTACGGACCGCATGTAGATCGCCAAGCATTTATTCGTGGTCTGAAACACTATTATTAGCTCTTTAAAATTATAGGTTTCTGAGTTTTAACATCTTGGGCGAGATACGTTTAGATTTTATTAATTAAATGAGTAAATGTAAAACGAGGTTCCCACTACTTACTTTTAAATGGATAACCTAACAAAAGGTCATTACTCAAAAATATTGCGGCTCTTGTAATATAGCAAACATGTTTATTTTTTTATTATGCCAATGGGACGAACAAGTTCTGGGCCTGGTGGTATGCGACACACCTGTCCATAACAGTTGCAGTCCCACCCAGGCTTTAAATCACAAAGATCGATGTGCCCGCTATTGGGCCATCGCCCTGAGGCATAAGTTGACAAGTCCCTTCAAAACCAAAATGCAGCCCAAAGGAAAAAGGTTGAAAATAGCTGATGACAACTTGAGACTCTTTGGTAAGAAACTTCCTGATTGTCTGTCTCCTAATCCCAGTGATCAGTTCTCCCTTTTCAGTGAGTGATGTGGTATACTTGGCGTCGCCCTTGTTGAAAGGGGTGAAAGGGAGGGAATCAACCATATTTTCTAACATTTTTAAAAGTTAAGATCAATTAGTTGTATGCGTCGATTGATTCGCCACCGTAAAGTCAGTTTTGTCAATATAGGCCAAAAATGGTGAACATTGTCAACTTCCAACACATCCTCAGTCAAACTTTGTAACGCACAAAACATTTAAGCATGTGCCACAATCATGTGCTTTATTTTATTACATTACAGCCTCGATATAAGTTTGTTCTCGTGAGATTTTGGTCGATTTATTTATTATACAACATCGCTCTATGCCAAAGCTCAGCTCCGCATTCAGTTTCCTCCGAGTGCCTGTCCACGGCCCCAGTTGTGGCCCCCAAAGACGCCTCCCCCGGGACGCGTGGGAGCCCTAGCCTGTGGAGCTGTGCCGAAACCACCCACATACCGCGTGTCGGGAAATAGTTGTTTCCTGTAGATAACATTTGTTATTTTAGAACATTTCAAGTTATCTCAATTAAAAAAAGGCGATAAGTAATACTTCAGGGTTTGATTCCCAGTTGAACCTTTGTGGATATAGTCACAACCTTTTTGGAAACAAGCAGAGAGAAATTTCTTAACCTTTTCATGGACAGTACGTAAATAGTACGCGCACAAAAATTTCTTGCCGTAGTGCTTCTCGATATTTTCAATGAACACTACGCCAACTTTTGGACTTGGTCTGTTTTGATTTTGTTATTTGTTTCTTAATTATTTTTTTTATAAAAATCGTATTTTTCTTTCTTTTTTCGAATTTTGTTTTTATGTTGTTCAAATTTGTTGTGAAAAATGTTCAATGAATTTTTGTCAAATCATTGAATTTTGTCAGTAGTACATAGTTGATTCTCTATGGAAAAGCAGTACACAGTAACTACACAGGAACCACTTGGAAATGGCACAGTAACACCCGTAGTTGGTTTTTTGAGGTCCATATAGCGAGACGGGGTACCCCGTCCTATCATATTCTGATATTTAATTTTATGGTAAACACTGTTACTGTCCTTGAACGAATTATTAAGTATTATAGTGTGAGTGCTATGGAAAGTCAATAGCAGTATTGTTTTTAACAATATCAAAAGTAAATTGAATTTCAATAAAACACTAAGCTATACTTACAGGAACGCAGGTGGTGTGAGAAGTGCTGGTCCACCGAACTCCTGAGGATATTTAAACAGCAGGAAGAATGACAGGTGACCGATTAAGATGCCTAACAGTTCCATCACACCGCTGCAACAAATTATAAACAATTATTAGGTTTAATTCACACACCTAGCAGCTGGGTGCTAACAAAAGATATAATTCACAAATTACAGGTAGCCCAGAGAGCATTAGAGAGGAAACTGGTGGGAATTACACTCAAAGACCGCAAAACAAATACGTGGCTCAGACAGGAAAGCAGAGTCGCAGATGTTACTAAACGCGTAACGAAGTGGCGGTGGGCGGGTCACGTTGCTCGAAAGCATGGCTCCTGGTGTAAAGTAGTCCTCGAAAGGCGACTCTAGGGTGAAAAACGGCTCGGAGGGAGATCGCAGATGCGTTGGAAGGATGACATAAAAAAGCGGCATGGTTGAATTGGACACAGGTGGCACAGAACCGACAGAAGTGGCAGAAACTGAAGGAGGCCTACACCAATATGGTTGAGAACGGCCAGAGAGACAGAGAGAATTCAGACAGCATCCAGGCGAACAGTCCTTGAGAGTGGCAACCGCAGTCTATATTTTAGATATTAAGGCAGTCTTTTTAGTATCACAGGATATTAAGTAATACTAAGTATGCATTGCAGGGACATACAATGTCATGTCTCTTGTGCCTGTGATTGAGCTTTTTTTTATGATAAGAAGTGACGAGCTGAACAAGTCGTGCGCCTAAGCGACGTGCCTGTTTATAACAGTTGTAGTGCCACTCAGAGCTTTAAATCGGAAAGGTCTGAGGGGCACTGCCACTGCGCCCGTCACTTTGAGACATAAGAAGTTGACAAGATTTTTTTATGAATTCAATAATTTGAAGGAAATAAAATAAAACGTACAAATAAGCAGTACTACTTATTAGCCTTTAAGAAATTAAAACTTGTATCTCACCCTCCACTGATAACCAGGTTGAAAGCAAGCAACACCCAAGGCAGGTACATGGCTTTGAATCTTGTACCAAACCAGAAGGATACAATGACATCCTTGTTCAACTGACACCACACGTAGAGCACAGACAGCACCATTGGGTCCATTAGAATCTGCAATTTAAAAAATCTATAATATGTCTATGTAAGGGTCTATTATTCTATAAACAGTCACTTTACCATATAGCACTAATTGGATGAATATAGATTTGTTTGGAAGAAATACCTTTACCAGTCTTGAAGGCTCATTGAAGCACTGCAATTGCATTTTGCAAATCATTCACCATTACAATGTTCTTAAGGCTGCAATAATGAACAATAAGTAACCCACATATCTAACCACGAAAAGTATTTTTCTACTTTTGGTTTTGCTAGTGAGGTATAAATATTCAAGGACCCGAATGCTTCAAATAAACGTTTTACATATGTTGTTGTACATTGTCACATTATGTGCATATACATTGAATGCCGAAACAACCCAGTACTATAACAGACACACAGAAGAATTTCATCAACTCTGCAGACTCAACCTGTAACTCAGTTGGTAGAGCGATGCTACGGTACAGCGTGGTCGCAGGTGGCGTTTCTATCGCGTCGAAGGAATTTCTCTTCGTGTTTTGATCTTTGTATTAACAATTATATTTTTTATTATAGAATTATATTATAGAAGTTTGATTTACATTATTTATAACCTAGAGTGTGATATCAAAAAAGCATATTGGGTAGTAATCTTCCACAGCTTTGCTGTTATATCACTTTCCAATTTAAACTCACCGGTAAGCTAACAAGAAGCCCAATGACAACGCAGCATAGCCAATTAAAGAGCAGCATATAGAAGTAGTCTGCTGGCTTGCCAGCAAACATGCCCGTCTCAAGTCGTTGTGAATAGTTGTATAGGAAGTAGCAGTTTATAAGGAAATGAAAGCCAGTTGCTGGCCCGATTGGGTAGAAGAACAGGGCGGTTAGAGGGCGCCATATCTGGAATTAAAGAATATGAATTGAAACATACACTTTGTGGCCATTAGCTGCAGGAAGCATATGGGTTGATATACTACAGTACAGTAGTAGACAGTTTGATACCAGCTCCATCTGTACATTTATTACCATATAAGACAAGAAGTAACTGTGTATTATAATGGTACATCATTTAAAATTAACATATATGTAGACAGATGATGAAGTGACACCATAAAGCAGGATCGAACAAGGAAACTGCGATAGGTGTTTCAGCATGTGCAAAATTGAACACAAAATGCTAACAGATAAAAATTCAATGTAAATGGTAAGCAGTTACGAATTGGATAATGAGAAACACATTGTTAAGCTTTAACCACACATATATTTAGCAAAACACTCATAAAATCCCCAATATAATGTAGTGTTTATTCAAGTTTGGTTATTTAATTTATTTAAGCCTAATTTTGAAGTAAAAAATTAGCCCACTGTCATTTTTTTCACTACTTTATTTTAATTTCATAACAGGTTCGTCAAGTGGTTTGAGGTTGAGTTTGTATTCTTTACTTTTCAGTTTTTTTCATTTATTAAATTTTATTACATTGTTACTTTTAAATTTTCAGTTATTGTTACTGCTTTAGCACGAAATAAAAAAATAATTGTTTGAATTTGATTTCTTTTCAATAAAAGTTGAGAAAGGCTATAATGAATAATTGTTAAAAGATGGTAATTTAATTGCTACTTTAGGTCTTAATTCTTATTTTTATTAATATAAATGTTACTATTACACCCTTCTTAGTTCAGAGCCACGTCCAACAGCATCTACGAACTGAAGGGCTTTCCTGTCTCGGGCAGTATTTATGTCGTCCGGTTAAGGCCTGTGCCTTCCCAGTATGGAACTTCATTCACCTATCAGCCGCTGATGGGCAGGGCAATGAAGTTCCCTGTCACAGATTCTTCAATTAATAGAGAGTACAGTTTGCAAGAAAACAGGTCAACAGAATGAGGATACAATTTGTTTTTTTGTAACAAAACCCGACTCTGATCATGTACAAAAGAAGCTTTTTCTACCACAGGTCAAGCCACGACAAGTATACTGATGAACAGTTAATAAGGCTGTGACCATGGACAACACCAGGCTGTTTTCTGAATTAATTTACTGCATACATAATTATGATTTCAACGTACCTGGAATTGGTGTATGAATGGATAGTAATCCAAAACTAAATAGTAGTAGTTCACCAAACCAAATCTACCGATTAAGCACAGAGCTATGGTTAGTGTGAGCCAATATCGAGTAAAAAACGGTACACTGTTGTACCAGTCTCTGAATTCAGACATTTTTCACGTTTTTTAAAATGTAAACAGGCAAAAACACTCCGGTTGTTTCTCGTACACAATGGTCTGATATTAGGTCACGTACACCCTAAATAAGCTGTCCAACGAAATGTTTTAAAAAGTTACAGACGCAAGTTATGTATAAGTTGTGAAATTAATACAAATAACGCCAAGTACACGTGTCTAAACAGAATTTGTCTAGAAAAATCACAAATCGGAGCGATGACGGCTGAATTTTTTTTTTCTTTTTATTTTTGCGGAACGAAAGGCAAAGATTGTCGGCTGAATATTTTTTGACAACTTTGGTATAGTTGCCACAAGGAAAAATACACACAACGTTTCGTGTATAAAACAAAATAATTTTTTTTTTCAATTTTTTTGTAAGCAGCTACGGCAACTAGAACCTGCTACCGCAGACAGCCAGATACGTAGTATCTCTTATTATTAGTTTGTGAGCCAGACTGACTTGCATTGCGGCCTGTCAGCGTGCTGTCAGCTCCAGCTGTCGTCTGTTACACAAATTAGAAGGATTTGTTATTTCGTGGGATCTTCGTATTAGGGTTGAATTTAAGTTCTTTCGGCAGAATTCTCTTATTTTTTCCTGAATATTTAAATAATAATGAGGTTTTTAATTAGACGTCTCGCTACAGGAGTTAATTCTTCAATTTTCAGAGTTAATACAGCACGACATGCCTCTAACGATGCTCAGAAAAAGGAACCTACTGCAGACAACACTTCAGAGATGAAAGTTGAGGAAGTCAGAAAAAGTACGTATTTATTTACTTTCAATTATGAATTAATAACAATTAAATAGACGAAACTTGGTGTACCTCTCGCTTTCGTATATTCTAAGGACGTATTATAGTTTAAAATTGAAAAATTGTTTATCCTATTTGTGGAAGAATAGATTCTACTAATTTCTCAACTTGTTTTTTAAAAAGATGTAGGTTGTCAAGGCGATACTTCGACTTGAGGTTCCTTCGTTTTGCCCTAATTAATTGATGTATTAATTTATCTGAATTGTTTTTATTTGGCATGAAAGTCATACTCTTCCAACTTTGGGTTACCTTTATGTGGAAAATTGTTGGATCCCAAATGATCTGTGGCTGTACACACAACGCAGTAGCCGATTTGTTAGTACAAGTGGTTATTATTTCTTTAGAGAACTTCTCTTCTAATGTGATACATATTTTAAGTATTTGATTTCACTAATGTTTAATATTGTGTAATCTTATTATAATAGGTCTAAAATTACACTTTCCTTAAATATTTGTTAAGACCATCTGCACTGGAGGTATCAAAATAATTGTAAAGACAAGTCTTTTATCCCAGGAAATCTCGACAAAAATGAAAACACCTCACATTGCCATGACAAGGAACACTTCAAAAAACTTAATCAAAATTTGAAATGATCATAGACATACATACATAGAAGGTGTGTCAGCAACAAGGTTTAACCAACACTGCCCCTTACATGAGCAATCATAATTAAGGAATAGAAACATGGTGCGAGTGTACAAATTATAATAATAGTTCGGTAACCTAAACTAAACCCAAAGATTTTACAAACAACTCATGCTTTGCCTTAGGCAAGGGGTTCAACCTTAGTATATGTGATGTCGAGGTGGGTGTTCAAATTATTATATACATATATATTTATAATTTTGGAGATAGACCTAGTGAAAAGGAACCCCTTCACAAATTTTCAGTTTTAGGACGCCAAAGGTTCTCGAGAAAATAATTTTTGAAAATCGTGACAATTAAAGCAAAAAAACGTTACCTACATTTAATGTCTTGTGTTTCTACATTCCACTGTAATTATATCATGTGTTGTTTAAATTTTGAAAGTATATTATGTTTTATTGGTTTTTTAAACACTATTACTTATTTAATAGCATTTACATTATATTTAAGATATTATTTCTTAAGAAGGCTACTTTGAAATAGTAATGATAATTCAATAACAATTTCGTAATTTCAACAATAAAACGCAACGTAATTTAGCGCGTTTGTTTTTTTCTTATTTCTCTTGGCTTTTCACGGTAAGCGTTTTATCCATTTACAGTGTTTTTACTGCGTATTTATGTTGTTGTTGTTCGTTGTGTTTAAAAATTGTTAGGTTTTTTTTTATATAAACGCGGAAGTCCCTCTGGGCAGAAGCGAATTGGATTATTTAGGTTAAGTTAGGTTTTTTTATACAAACGTGGAGTCCCTCTGGGCAGAAACGAATTGAATTATTTAGGTTTTTTTTATACAAACGCGGAACTCCCTTTGGACAGAAACGAATTGGATTATTTAGGTTAAATTAGGTTTTTTTTATACAAACGCGGAAGTCCCTCTGGGCAAAAACGAATTGGATAGATACAGGTTAAGTTAGGTTTTTTGTTATACAAATGCAGAAGTCATTCTGGGCAAAAACGAATTAGATCGATATAGGTAATGGCTTGTTTGAGTCCATATAAACTCTTCTTGAGTAAACAAACTTTGTTCTGCCCCTCTATCTCAAATCTAGTAGGTTGCTCCATGTAAATGCATTCATTAAGATTTTCATTAAGGAATGCCGTACTAACATCTAAATGTTCGATGTCCATATCATTTTCAATTCCAATTTCAAATAATAAACGTAATGTACAATGCTGACAACTGGTACAAAAGTCTCTTCATAATTCACACCATATTGGTGAGTGAAACCTTTTGCAACTAAGCGACCTTTAAATTTCTCAAAATTACCACTTGAATGAACTTTTTCTTTGAAAACCCATTTACATTTAATGACATTTCCATGTTTAGGTCGATCAACAAGTTCCCAGACTAGCAAAGAAAAGTGAATGATATTCTTCTTTCATAGTTTCTAACCAATATTTCGCTTTTTCACATGTTATAGCTTGACTATATGTTCTAGGTTCATTTCATCCTGTAAATGCTAGTCCCGTGAAATAATTCACTTCACAATCTTTGAACCAAAGTGGAGGATGCCGATTTTGAACAGGCCTAGAATCACCAGTAATTTGAAAATCTGATACATTCTGTAGTTCTGAATCATTCTTTGACTGAATATTATTCAACAAAGATTCAGCTTCTCCGTGTTCATCAGATGAAACTATAGTTTGAATATTAGGTTGTTCAATGACTTGTAGAACTCATTATTGGTAGACAAAACATCTGGTGTAGCATACTCATCGTCGTCAGAATCATTGACATGTACATCTAAAGTGTTTACATTATTTATAGTAATATCAACAGTGTTAATTAAATCTTTAAAACTTTCATTATGCTCACTCCTTTCACACAAACTTTCACTATACTCGAAGATGACTGAGCCTTCTCTTCTTTAGGAGTAGCTTTAGTCAAAGCAGCAGTAGGACTACGATTTTTTAAATAACAAGCAGTGTTTACTGCTTCAGCCCAATATTTCTTCTCCAAACTGGCGCCTTGCAACATAGCTCTGGCTTTTTCAACTAACGTCTTATTCAAACGGAAACGCCGTTTTGTTGTGGTGTATACGGAACAGTTGTTTCGTGAACAATACCGCATTGATTGAAATAATTCGCAAAACTTTTATTACTATATTCTGTACCGTTATTACTCCTAATGCGCTTTATCTTTAGATTGGTTTGATTTTCTACTAATGTTTTAAAATTAATAAAAGTATTCAAAACCGTTATCTGATCTTTGCGATTTATAAAATAAATAAAAGATTTTCGCGTAAAATCATCAGTAAAAATGATAAAATATCGACAACCACTGCAACTATTAACTGATATACATGTATCAATATGGATTAAATCTAATTTAGTCACGCTTCTATGTGCCTGACCGCGAGGAAAGGATTTGCTCTTTTGTTTTCCTTCAATGCATGGAACACATGGAGTCAAATCTGCGTTTGAGAAATCAATACCGCGAGCTAAATGATCACGAAGAGTTAACATACCTCTTAAACTTAAATGACCAAGGCGACGATGCCATAGTTCCAAAGAATTAGATTTGGACATAAAAGCTTTACCTTCAGTGCTTATACTAGGCTCTTGGTCATTGGCAAATACCGAATAACAACCCCGTTTATTATCAACTTTATACATACCGTCCACATTAGTAACTGTCAAATCACATGAACCGGCCATGCACACATTGTCCTTCCTGAAAATAAGACATTTATTAATATCAAATATTAATATATAGCCTATATTTACTACACAAACCTAAAGTCCTAATAAAAAACACGTAAACTAAACTTGTCGAACTATTGTGAGAACATTGCCCATAACAAGCCCATAACCAATGTAAAGACAGAAGTCTTTTATCCCAGGAAATCTCGACAAAAATAAAAACAACTCAAGTTGCCGTGACAAGGAACACTTCAAAAAACTTAAATCAAAATTCGAAATAATCACAGACATACATAGAAGGTGTGTCAGCAACAAGGTTTACCAACAATAATTATCTGGTCTAATTTTTTGTAAAAAAACGCATGTGTAACCTTAACTCGACATTGGCGTAATCATTGACGGTATTAATGGCGCTATAACAATATAAAGTAGAAGATATCAAAATATATAAATAATTAACTGCTTATGGTCTCAAATAAGACTTATAGTATGTTGGCAAAAAAGTAATAAAAAAGCTATTCACTTTTGTTTGAATATCGCCTCCTGTGCAATGGAACAAGATCCATCAATGCGTAGCTTGATGTGCTCCCGTCTGAACAAAAATGTAATGTAATATTAGTAATTATTATGGAAATTCATTTTATTATTCCAGATATAATGGTAGAAAAATATGGAGGCATTACAACCATAAACATAGACCGTCAGACTAGCCGTAACAGCCTCGACGAGTCAACACTCAGGGAAATAGAAGCAGCAATTAATGCTTTTGACAAAGATGACCAGTCCAAAGTGTTAGTGTTTAATGGTGAGGGTGGCTCGTTCTGCTCTGGGTTTGACTTGGATGAGCTGGGAGATAAGGGATATTATCCACTTCGGGATGCTTCAGTGAGTATTTAAGAAGTTGAAGTTAGAACACATTACTTTGTTTTTGCAAGCAAAAGACCAACAGCGGGGTGGAGCATTCGCTGCGAGCAACAAGCCGCTCCTTGCTCACTGTGAGAGCCTTGTTTCCCCGAACTGACTGCACGAACGCTCACTGTGTAACACGTTACATTACGCCGCACAACACCAGTCAGTACCCACGTTAAGATTTTCTTTAGTCATCACCTTAATGCGTTTTACTGACGATGTCGATGTTTTTTTAGGTTTGATAAGTTGGATTCGCAGATGAGCAATTTTAAAAATCTTTGAATACAGTATTACTTATTTGTAAAAACAAAGTAATGTGTCCATGATGCAAAACATTCTTACTACTTACTACGATATTTAAAGTACCTACTTTCCCTCCATATCTTACAGCCATGAGACGCTCCTTATTCGAAAGTTAGACACACAAATGTTTAGTGGAGTCTGTTAGCATTGAAAGACTGAGTAAGATCTTACTCATTTAGACATGTTAAATACGGAAATTAGTAAGGATGAGCATGAGAAATACACAGGCGTCTCGTCGGTGTTATTGCAGAATCTACAGTCTGTGTTTTGTTTTGCCAAAGCTGAGATATCTGCTTGTTCATAATGTCCTAATAATAATAGTGATTGGTTAACATCAATTATTATTAGTGAATAATATTAAAGCTTTCACTGTAATATCTAACTCTTAAATCTTACGTATTTCCTGGTTAAGCAAATTACAGTTGAAACTCTCATGTTTCTTTATTAGCTACTTCCAAGTGGTCAGAAATTCAATATCCTGCACTTTTAACTGGTGGAATAGAATATTTGAAGTTCCAAAATAATCCTGTTTCAGATTATCTGTAATAGAAAGTTGTAAATTCGACAGTTGCGCATGCGCCGCCACCCCCTCTGTGACAAAACGACAATCGCAGCTGTCTCGGGCTTCGCAGTTGCGGAAGGCTTCGAGCTGGCGCTGTCGTGCGATCTTCGCGTCGTTGAAGAGACCGCTGTGTTAGGATGTCTCGGACGGAGATTTGGTAGGCATTTTGATTCTGAATATTTTATAAAAGGAAATACTTTTTGTCTGTTCGCTTACATTTAGGTGAGGCCTTTAGACTGTTACAATAAACGCGGAATTCAAAGTAATTTAATGGCTAATATTTTGTTTTATTTATTTAATTGATATAGGTACAAACAGAACAAACATTTACAATACTCAATACAATATAATATTTGATGTCTATTCTAATGTGTATTATCTCAGCAATAGTGATGTACAACAGTACTATATAATATTTATTTATTTGACGCCTGAATGGTACCGCACATTTAAAATACAATAACGAAAAGAAAAAAGAAAAAAACTACGGGAATTTGAAGTGAAAAGGCGCTTAAAATTTAAAACTTTCAATTAAAATTATGACAACATAATGTAAAAGTTTCTGGAAGAAGGATCAAGATGTAAAAGGCAATGATATGGAAGCATACAAGAAGAAATACCTACTAAGCCATGTTCAAAATTAAACGTCCTAATATAGGAAATGAACTAAGTGAAAACATGAATAATGACTCTCGCCGTTTAAAAGATTATTTAAAAAAGGTTTTGTTTTTGTTCATTTTACAAGTACGTTAAAATACAAATTTGTAGAAAAAATTTATTGAGAATCCCGAAAACTGTGAAGGCCTGACTCGAAGGACTTGTATCCAAGCCAAAAATCCAAATCCTGTTAAAAAACAATGATAAATCGTTGGGTCAAAATTAATTCAACAACAATAACTTTCCAGCAAGAACAACAACACAACATTGTAAATAATACTACTACCACTTGCAGGTGTTCCCCAGAGTATGCTCGGTGCTCGTATGTTAACATCACTAATGGGGCTGTCGCAGGCGTTGGACCTGATCATCACAGGCAGGCTCATCTCAGGCAAGGAGGCGCACAGGATGGGACTTGCGTGCAAGCTCACTGCCACTGGCACTGGTACTTACATCAATCTATATACATCTATATACAAACGTTTATAAATTTCAAGTTACGCTATATACAGGGTTATCTGTAAAATACTAATAACTTCTCAGGACTATTATTACCATCATAAAGAATAACTTTTTCATGACTTTTTTTTATAAAACAAAAGATTTACCAAAAATAAACTTTTAAGTCGTAATTGTTTTATATCTGTGTCAGTAGTAAGGTGAAATTACAATATTTATAACAAACAATTACATATTTAGAACAAACAAACTATAGAGTTGCTTTAATTTTAATCCTATTTTTAAAATGATTTTTTATTAAACGTTAGCAATAACTAACAAAATATTGTTGTAGTCGTTTTACGGCTTGGGATTACCTATCAGAAGTCAGAAAATACATTTGCCCGAAATAACATTAGCTCGAATTTTCATAATGTGTTTTTACGAAGATTACAAAACAAAAGCTAACATTGTCTATGTAAAAAGCATGAAAATTACTTGAAAGCGTAACAGTTTTGTTATAAATCGGAATTACGGATATTTGAGTTTACGTTTAGTTAGAATATCGGCACATTTCTCATAATACACGCGTATTTTTACATTTGTAGTAATAATCGTATGTATGTATCTGCCCAACTCTTTATTATACCTTTAAGTGAATTTGTACAAAATTCTACATAATAATATATACAAATAAATTATTTGATATTTACGAGAAAGGCTATTCCATTACTCTTGTGTTCAAGTAATTTTCAGTCGAAGCTAAATATGGTGCATTTTGTTAAGTTTCCTAGAAGCTAAATATGGTGTTTTTGGGTCCTTAAATCGTCGTAAGTAAATTTAGGCAGTACTGCAATGACGTTACAATTTAAATTAAATGTTTTAGTTTTTTTATATTTCGGACTCGGACATTTTTTCCGTGGTTTTTGTATTAGACCCGATGTCCATTTGTTGGTAGGTCAATGTTTTATGCGTTATTATTCTAAGTGTGTGTAGATAAAATATTTTTGTTTTTGTATGAGTGTATAATGTGATGAATTATTAAGTCGTGGAACAAAAGTTGTTGTTTATAAAGTCATGTGAGATTATTAGTATTTCACAAATAACCCTATATAATATGTGGTTTGTGTAATTCTAAAGGCTCATTTAGATGGAGAGAGTTTATCGTCTCGAAGATACGATTATCGAAAGAATATAAAAAAACTTTCCTCGTCTAAACATTCGCGATTATCGACCGTCCACGTGAGCGATAATCGCCTCGCCTTTCCATATTGAACGTCTCCGTGTAAACAGAACTCGAAAGCAAAAATCGTATTTCGAGTTTCTGTGCCAGCCGTTTCTACCACGAGTGCAGTGCGCGAGGGTGTTTAGATCATCACTGCTATTCTAAGAAAGAATTAATGAAACGAGAACGAAAAAAAATTATGAATTAAGAAATGTTATAAAATTTGAAAAAAAAAACTTAAAAAATGTATATTTCTATACAATGCAATGAACTTAATATTATCAGCAGTTCTAAATTTTAATGATTTTTACGTCATTTTGATATATACATAGTCAATACCGTAGTAATCACTGAACTCGAATGGGAATTGTCGACTGTCCGAGAATCCGAACAGTTCATATGATTATCGTACAAATGTACTTGAAAATATGTCATACGAGATCGTGTTTAGACAAGTCGAAAACTCGTAAGCAAGAATCTTCTTACCACATATTTCTCCGTGTAAACAGTCGAGGTGGCGATTAAGTTGCTTGCGAATCTCGTATGACATAATCGTAGGCGAGATTTTAGTTCTTGCCTGAATGTAAACGTTATGATACGATAATCTTATGGAGATTATTGCTTACGATAATCGCGTACGATTTTTCGTCACGAAGCGTGCGATAAACTCTCTCCATCTAAATGGGCCTTTAAGTGTAGTCCATGCACATTTATGTCTGTGGTCAAAAGTTGTTGTTTATGATGTTGGGTATTTAGTCCTTCGAGTCCTGTTAGTATTTTATAAATAATCCTCTATAGAAAAATATGCAGTTGTACAATTTTGCGCAACCAAATTTAGTGGAACTGGAAAAACAAAAATAAGAAAGCTCCACTTCGGAGCTTAAGAGATGGCCATTCCGCCTAATTATTTTTTTGGTTATGAATACAAAGATCGAACACACAGAAAAAATTTCGTCGACCCGGTGGTATTTGAACGTGAGAGTCAGAATGGCGGGTGTACCTTAACGGACCCTGACAAATTTGGTACCAAAAAATGTTTGTAAATTGTACTATTTAGTACCTCTGTTTAAACCATTTGTACTTCCATCAGAACGAAGCAATATCAAAGGTACACCCGCCGAATTGACTGTCAATATGGCGGTATACCAAATTTGTTAAAATATGTTAAGGTACACCCGCCATTCCGACTCTCACGATTTGAACTCACGTACATGTTGAACCGTGGTGCTGCATCTTATTCATAATCATAACAAAACTAATGGAGTTATTTCACAAAAAAAACTGTAGATACATTAGATCGAAAAGCAGCACCTGCGTCAGTTGTGATACCTGTAAAGGTATCGTCTGCGGTGAGAAGGTTATTCAAAAATCTCTCACTAGATGTCACTAGCGGCGACGAATACGGAAAGCCAGTATAAAGATCTATAACAACAATACATAGGTGAATTGCGACGGCTGGGTAACTGGACCCGTAGCTCAGTTGGTATTGCAATGCTATGGTGCAGCATGGACGTGGGTTCAAGTCCCACCGGGTCGGCGAAATTTTTCTGTGTGTTCGATCTTTATATTCATAATCATAACAAAACTAGTGAAGTTATTTTTAAAGAATCTCAACAAATATATTATTGCTAGATAACTTTTAGTCGTGTTTTACGACATGTCCCATAGACAGCTTTTATGACGTTATTAAATGAAATATTTGTGTAACGCTATGAGATATCGATCTGTCTAGCATCTTCTCTACATAAATGATAGTTTACTAATGCAACATATTGTTGACAGCTCTAGGCGAAGCAATAAAACTGGCAAAATCCCTAGCAAAGTTCCCTCAGAACGCATTAATGATGGATAAGATAGAAGCCGTCAGCTCGCAGCTCAACCCTAACAGTGAAGAAAGTATGAGGGACGAGGCTGTAATGCAGAGTTTGCTGGGTGGAGCCATTGAGGATATGAAGGAGGGTGTCAAGAAATTTCAGGCTGGTAAGATATATGTTTTTATTAGTAGGAAGTGCCAATTCTGGACCACAAAGTGAATTTGGACTCTATTGCCTAGAAAGATAATCATACAAAGACATACATTAAAGATAACATTATTCTGCAGAGAAACAAGGTTAACAAAATAACAAGTTGTCTAAATGTCTACATATAGATAGTATACAAAGAGTGACATGGAGTGGCTAAAACCACCAAATATTAATTAATTTATTGTTTTGAATTCCGGATTTCCGGAAATAGGTTTACTGTATCGTAGGATAAAACTATTCACCTAGAAAGCTGACGTTGGATTTTAAAGTAAATACTATTCACGCATTAGTTAAAACAAGCTTTTCTTTGTGGCTTTTAAAATATGTTTTGGTGAAAGAATAGTTATTTAAAATCCAACTTCAGGTTCTTCTCATAGAGATCTTACGATGCAGTAAAACTGTTTCCGGAAATCCGAGAAAGTAATTAGTTCATATTTGGTGGTTTTAACCATTCTATGCCACTCCTTGTATGTGTATGTAGACATTTATCTACTCATATGGAACACCTTATTCCAACCATTGGCCATCATCGATGCCGCACGTGCCACCACGCCCAGCAGGTTGAACCCCCATTACTATACCCACCACAGCTCATCGCAAACCGCTAATTAAAAACTATACATCTTTTACATATTTAATAGAGAATTTTGCAAACGCAGCTTATATGTATTTAAAAACTTAAGTCCAGCGCCAGATAAATAGCTATAATTACTCCAGCAAAGACCACCGCGTCGTCGCAACTACACATGGAACACATTTGGCAGCATTGCGCAATCGATCGCCCCGCCCACCAATTAATGCACACACATCTAAAACCAGCCTCATCGACCTCATCTCATCACAAACTGGTCACCATCTCACAACACAAACCAAACTTAAACTCTGTGACGTCACTATAAAATATCTTTCCCATTTTATATTACATACAATATTGCTTTGCAATTCGTACTTACGCCATTCTAGCATAAATAACATCATCAACGCCCCAATCTTACTCCACATTCATGGTCCAGAACTGGCACTAAAATTTTTTTCAAAGTTCCACATTGCATTATCAACTTTTGTGCCTAAGACAATGGAGTCCAATTTCACTTTGTACTTGAGGTCTAGAACTAGCATTTCCTATCTATTTATATTTTTAAAACCTTCAAACAATTATGTGGTTCATGTGATATAAACTTTACTATATCACTTTAACACCTACAATGAGTTAGTTTTGGTTTGACTGTTCTTATTATAGTTAAATTGTTCCTTTTTTTAAACTCGTGGTTACCCACTAAATGTTTATCATTAATTATGGCGGGCTAGTCAACCTGTGACCAAGGAAGGTGTAACATTCTGAAATATAGGGATAATAAAAAGAAATTACACCATAGTAAGAATGCTAATTTTCTTGAAATCACTTGTCATTTGTGACTCCACTTAGATCATATTGCATATTATGATAATATTTAATATTTATACATACAAAGATCGAACATACAGAAAAATTTCGTCGACTCGCAATTTAAACCCACGTCCATGCTGCACCGTAGCATTGCTCTAACCGTCTAAGCCACGGGTCCAGTTAATGAGTCGTCGACATTATCGTGTTTTTGTTATAGATCTTTGTAATGACTTCGGCATTCGACGCTGCTAGTGACATCTAGTGAGAGATTTTTGAATAACCTTCTCACCGCAGCCGATACCTTTATAGGCATAACAAATGACGCTTTTCGATCAAGTGTATTTATGAAGTGGGCTTATTTCACAAAAAATCTCAATAAATATGATAACATTTGTTAATCTGCTATAATCTAGTTGCAATGGCAGTCAAGTCTCAATAGTGTCAGTCATCGAGTATATGTATAACCAGAAATAGAGAAGAAATGTCATTTAATTGTTTGAAAACTATTCTGCAATGTCATTATTGCGCTCAGATTGGCTAGTCCGAAATCGAAACAATTGATGGATGTTGTCAATTGTTTTACTTCAAATCGACCAGTTTAACTTGAGCCTTGCTATAATGGATGAAAATTGAAAAATTACATTTTTAATATTTAATTACCGATGAAATGTGATTCCGTTTGTTTTGTAACTAGATGTTTTGCTGTTTTTCCCACAATGGAACAGCCCCCCATAGTTAGAGATATTATCTTTATTGCAATAAATACAGAATATTTTTGGAATATACGGAGACGTACCCACAGGTCAGTTGTTGGCGCTGTACTATTCCAGCTCTCCAATTTGTGATTTCAGTGCAAACGAGAGTTGATATTTAAAAATGATGTAAGGCCCATTTGCCTTATTTCGTCTCTATTTCTGGTTATATATACTCGAAGCTTTATCGACATACAACTGAGATGATTTAAAATTATCAGACGTGAAGCCCTGTAATTAGTGATAATCATTTAGTTCAATTTGTCTTTGTCTTGTGTGTGTACTAATGTCTTTTTCAATGTAAATGAAAATAAGTAATATTTTATTTCGTATGTCAGTGTTTTTTGTATATTTTTCTTTACTATTTTACTGCCGCTGCCTATAACTTTCTGCATCGATAACATAACATAATAATTAAACATAACTGTTATTAGTTATAACTTTTTTTTATTAAAAAACCGACATCAAAAGTTTGCTTGTCAGCTTTCGCTATATTCGTTACCGTAATTTTTTGAATAATATCAAGTGACGGGACGAACAAGTCGTGTGCCTGTTAAATACGTGCAACGCCACTTAAAGCTTTAAATCTTAAAGATCTGAGGGGCACACCCACTGCGCCAGTCACTCTGAGCATAAGTTGACAAGTCTCATGTGCCTGTAATTTCACCAGCACCCTTACTCTTCTAAACCGGAACGCAGTCAAAATCAAAGATCATTTTATATTTCACAGGGCAAATAAATTTACCCTTGAAGACGTCACATTTAAGCTACTGCTCGTTCACTAGGCTGACCTCCCTGAGAAGAACGAGCAAGAAACTCTAGGGATTGCTTTTTTCAAATAAACTTAAATGCTATGGAATACACTTTGAATCAAATTTGTTTGGATTCTGGAGCCGTGTCGTCATTCCTTACATCTTTATCTAACACGTAGCCTTCAATTTTGTAATATGACATTTCAGTCAAAATATTGTTAATGCTCACATTACTGTTTGGGAGCAAAAATAGGTAAGGTGGCAGTACTTCCCTGGACGAACTCTTTAACAAGGAGCTCTACTGCTAATAACCATGCGACTAAAAATATATATTTGCCAAGTTTTATTAAAATCGGTTAACAGAAAGGTTTGCCAGTTTATCCAATAAATCGGATTCATCCCTAATTTGCCACCCTTAGAGTTGGAATATTTTCTTCAAATTGGAATGAATCACGACTGAGATATACCCTTTCCCACAAAAAAAGAATCATCGAAATCAATTCGCAAATGTTGTAATCGTGTAACATATACACAAAAAAATAGTCGGATTACGAACATCTTCCTTTTTTGAAGTCGGTTAAAAAAGTTTTTACTCCTTCCATGTGTTATTCTTAACTTTTCATTCAATAATTTTTTTAGGTATCGGTCGACATGGAAAGTTCTACAAACTGACAGAGGTACCTCTTAAAGATTGGGAACTCGAAGAGAGCCTAGAAGAAATCCAGGTTACCATAGACAAAACCAATGAAAATCCAAAAGATGATAAAAAATAAATATTTAAGTTGTCTTGTATTTGTTTTAAGTTGTAAATATTAAACGTTCTAGTCGTGATATATGTTTCTTTGGTTTAAAACTGGTATAAAAATCGTTGGTTCCCAATGAGCCTTTATATTTTAACTGCCTCCATAGCGGAATGAATTGCTATACCGTGTTGCTCTGCCACGCAGAGGTCCTCTGGATTGAATTCCTGGGCCTGAATAAATATTTGAATGGTCTACATTTATTTCTCTCGTGAGTATGGGTGTAGTTTGTGTTTGTCCATGGCACCCGCTGTGGCTATCAGTGTGTGCGCTATTTATAATTATATCGAGGAATTACCATGTTGCTGTCAAAACAAAACAAAAAAAAAATTCTTTTCTGTTTTTCGCACAAGATAAAGCACACAGTACATATAAGTGTAGTTATGTGCCAATTTAAAGGTGAAACGCATTTATAGTCGTAAAAATTCACTATGAAGGGAATTTCGATCAAATAGTAGATCAACGTTACTTTCCGTCTATGGATGGACAGAACTAAAGATATGTAATATATATATCAAAATGTTTATTGAAAATTGTATCTTGTCCAAATATTCTGTTTAAGTAAAGTGACAATTGACAAGGTGTACTGATTGGCAGTGGCGGATTTCAGTCTTGACCGCCCTAGGTACCAGCCGGCCCTTTCTCAGCACTCATAGACCTACTGGTACATATATCTATATTTTATAAATAAAATGTACGAAAGTGATTTAGGAAGATTAAGGCCCATTTAGATGGAGAGAGTTTCTCGCACGCTTCGTGACGAAAACTCGTAGGTGATTATCGTAAGCAATAATCGCCATAAGACTATCGTATCATAATGTTTACATTCAGGCAAGAACTGAAATCTCGCCTACGATTATCTCATACGAGATTCGCAAGCAACTTAATCGCCTCCTCGACTGTTTGCACAGAGAAATATGTAGTAAGGAGATTCTTGCTTACGAGTTTTCGACTTGTCTAAACGCGCCGAAACTTTGTTTTCTAATGTAATACGGCTTTGGAACATAGTGTTTAAGAAAATTAAGTTTTCTTACAGACATGGTGAATCGAGACACTCTTCAAGAAGGAAAAATGATTTACAAAGAACCTTTCGGCCTCTTCGAAAAATGGTTCAATGAAGTGAAGGCCAGGAAGGATATTCTAAAACCAAATGCTATGTGTTTAGCAACAATTGCGAAGTAAGCAATTAGATATAAAATATGTAATATTTTTCCGGATTTTTCCGGATTTATTATTTTTCAGTCAACCGTGACCATGGGCCCTGTAAAGGGCCCGTAACGTAGGTTTGTTTGAAAAAACAAATATACGCGATTGAAATCCCGAAAAATAGTTACATTTCCTATCAATAGTTCGAAATATCGAAATTGCCACCGCGTCTTTCACCTTGAGATTGAGACCATATTAGAATAAGACCAAGAAAGGTAAGTCGTGGGTAACTCCATCCAAACGGAGCAGGGTTTATATTTACGTTATTACTATTATTATGCTTTTCTTTCATAATATGTTTTTCGTTAATATCAAACGGTTACTTCAATACAGCATGACAACACTGTTGTGAATACCTTATTTTTTTCAAATTATGCGTACACCTGTAACATCGAGTATATAAGCAGAAATAGTGACGAAATAAGGGCCATATATTCCTGGTAACACATTAGCGATACAGCTCTTATAAATATCAACTTTCGTTTGCACTGAAATATAGACAGGCCAACTACTGACCTGTGTACGTCTCCGTATATTCCAAAAAATATTCTGTATTTATTGTTATAAAGATAATATATGATAATATATGTTCTATTCCATGGTGTGGGAAATACAGCAAAACATCATTAATTACAAAACAAACGGAATCACATTTCATCGGTAATTAAATATTAAATATGTAATTTTGCAACTTTCGTCCATTATAGCAAAGCTTAAGTTAACTGGTCGATTTGAAGTGAAACAGTTGACGACACCATAACGACACCCGTCAATTGTTTCGAACTCGGGCTGGCTAATCGGAGCGCAGTTGTCAGAGTAATGATATGGCAGAATAGTTTTCAAATAAATTAAATGACATTTCGTCTCTATTTCTGCGCTCCGAGTAAAGTGTAACCATTTGAACAGGCGGGAGTTGCCGAACAGGTGATCCTTTAAGTTTCGAAATCTAATATTTTCAGAGGCAAATATCCAACAGCCAGGATGATGGCATTAAAAGAATATGACAAAGATGGTTTCATATTCTTTACAGATTATGAGAGCAGAAAAGCTGAAGATATTGTGCGTAATTTAATTCATTCGTTTCTGCTTTCCTCAGTAAATCCTTAGTCTAATTTGCAATTGTCTTGTATTGAGATGCAATGTATCTAAATGATACAGAAACTTTTAATTAGTAATAATTTTTCAGGAAGATAATCATAACGTGGCAGCGACATTTTACTGGGAATTCTTTGATCGTTCAGTAAGAATTGAAGGTCAAGCTGAAAAGTTATCCAGTAAAGAAAACGAAAAACATTTTAACTCATTACCAGTGAATGATCAAGTTATCTTAAGTTCTAGTCCTCAAAGTCTCCGAATAGTGTCTACTAACGAAATATATGAGAGAAAAAGAGATTTGGAAGAGAAATATTTAAAAAGTGGAAGTAAACTTCCAGTAACAGATCATTGGTAAGCAATCCCAGTTGCTCAAATTGATATATTAGGTGTTAATAGTGTTAGAGTGTATATGTCGCAGTGGGCATTTTTTAAAATCTTTCTCTATTTTGTTTCCTGCCCTTTAAGCTCTATGCATGCTGTATGTAACACGGGGCGAAATACCTATATGATTTTATTTTCTACGGTGAAATATTCATGTATTTGTATGAACAACCGTTACAAATGAAATTTGTCGTGTAAATAGGTAAAATAAAAATCGTTTTCATCGATGTTATTAATAAGTTCCCCTAGATGTCGTCACCATGTAGGTACGTGTTACCAAATGGTAAGCCAATAATTGACAAGGGTCTAGCCAGACGTGCGTAACCTTGTGTGTTGCGTTTATCGAGTCGCGTAATTTACGCTTCATTCGGTTTCATATAAATGTCCGTGTTGTACCATACGACGACGCAAAATGAGTTGACTTCCGGCTCACGCGCCGCGCGTAATTGTCGACCGAAATTAGAATTTTTAACCGTAAATTCGGTCGCTGTTTGTCGGTGTTTAACAAGCTTGTGCACGTGGAGAGAGGGGTAAGGGAAGGAAGGTGAGGGAAACATTTATTGGCACGTGGAAAGTATTTACAAATAGATCTGCCTGTCACATAAACTTTCATATAGTATAAACAAACGTTATTTCTGGTAAATGTCATTTCGGACTTCCGATAGGTAACCATGTGGAGTAACCTATACCAAGGTCAAATTTATTTTTTCCGAAATAACATTTGTTCGAATTTTCATTACACCGAAAACCGAATTATAACGGAACCGTTTTTCTTTCAGGATATGTTGGATGTTTATCGCAAAGACACGATTAGGTTCGGTTAGGTTAGGTTAAGTTAGGTTTAAAAGAAAACATTTTCCTCTCAAAATTACTTTCGAAGTTATGAAAATTCGAGCAAACGTTATTTCTGTCAAATGTCATTTCAGACTTCTGATAGGTAACCAGTATATGGAACTGCCCACATTTTAATATTTTGTTATTCCTTGCTATTTTTAATGGATTAATTACACCTTCTGACTCAAACATCTCGTACAAACTTTCAAAAGCAACTGAATAAAATACGTTCGTCTGGCGCTCCTACCGAATTTCAGTCGGACGTAAACTACTACGAGACTAAAAAAACGTGACTCACAACCCACAATGACGCTCGTGTGGCCTCACCCAAGTCCTTTTTCCCAGTCGTTTGTTCACCTCGAGTCGAGTTTCAATAGGTACACAAGTATTTACGTTTGCGCAATTGTTACACATAGGAACTGAAGCTATTTTTCGGATCTATATCGCGTATATTTGTTTTTTTCAAACAAACCGATGTTTCGGGCCCTTTACAGGTCTCATGGTCACGACTGCCTCTATGCAGTGAAATCGCTGGACAGAGTCAGCCGTCTGGCTAGTGGCAAGGGCCCGAGTTTCGTTTCCTTGGTACATACCTACTGACTCTGTTCCTAAAACCAAGTTGTAAGTTTTATTTGTCAGGGGAGGCTACATCATTCATCCAAAAGAAATTGAGTTTTACCAAGGGCAAACAGATGGTTTCCACCACAGAGTCTGTTTTAGAAAAGTGGAAGAAAACGAGACTACCGACGGCAAATTGCTGCATGAGGGCGAGGAT